CATTGTACTTTGATGTAATGCAACAAACACAATATTGTCAGTATAAATGGTTCCGTTTTGTGCGTGTGACTATGTATATAATGACCTATTGCCATTTTTTTTTTGTTTATTCTTGTTACTGATGAAGTGAACGTAGTTTCACCTGGTGTTCTCTCAATTGATTTCTAGTTAACATGTGTACAGTATTATTTGTTAGTTAAGACAGCATTTTTAACATGTATTTTTTTTTGGTATAAATTACATTGTCTGCTAGTATATAGATAATTATGTAAGTACATTTTTGTGATTTATTACCCTTGAAAACTGGCTCAATAAATATGATGTGAATTCACTTCAAAACAAAATATCTGCACATAACTGCACATATTCAAAAAAATTTTTTAATTCAACGGTCTCCATATTTGCTGAATGATTTTATGGGAAGTAGGTCATTTTAGTTTAATTTCATGATGTTCACCATCGTGATGATCATCTTTTGCCATCAAACATTTTGTGGAGGAATTAGTTGAAAGGGTGGTTCTGTGCTTGAATGGTGGCATTGACTATGGTGGTTCTGTGTAAATGTACAATGTCTTTAAAACCTTTTCACTTTTGAAATCCATCAACCGTTGATTCCTAGTTCATTTCGAATCAGTCTTCTACTTTAATATAACAACTTTATTAACAAATCCCAGTACTCTGTTCACCATGATACTCTGTTCACCCCAGTACTCTGTTCACCCCGATACTCTGTTCACCCCAGTACTCTGTTCACCCTGATACTCTGTTCACCCCAAAACTCTTTTTACCATGATACTCTGTTCACCCTGATACTCTGTTCACCATGATACTCTGTCCACCCCTAAACTCTGTTCACCCTGATACTCTGTTCACCCCAAAACTCTTTTTACCATGATACTCTGTTCACCCCAAAACTCTGTTCACCATGATACTCTGTTCACTCTGATACTCTGTTCACCCAATACTCTGTTCACCCCGATACTCTGTTCACCCCGATACTCTGTTCACTCCAAACTCTGTTCACCCTGATACTCTGTTTACCCTGATACTCTGTTCACTCCAATACTCTGTTCACCCTGATACTCTGTTTACCCTGATACTCTGTTGACTCCAATACTCTGTTCACTCCAATACTTTGTTCACTCCAATACTCTGTTCAGTCCGATACTCTGTTCACTCCAATACTCTGTTCACTCCAATACTCTGTTCACTCCAATACTCTGTTCACTCCGATACTCTGTTCACTCCAATACTCTGTTCACTCCGATACTCTGTTCACTCCAATATCCTGTTCACTCCGATACTCTGTTCACTCCAATACTCTGTTCAGTCCGATACTCTGTTCACTCCAATACTCTGTTCACTCCGATACTCTGTTTGCTTCAATACTCTGTTCAGTCCGATACTCTGTTCACTCCGACACTCTGTTCACTCCGATACTCTGTTCACCCTGATACTCTGTTCACTCCGATACTCTGTTCACCCCAATACTCTGTTCACTCTGATACTCTGTTCACCCCGATACTCTGTTCACCCCGATACTCTGTTCACTCTGATACTCTGTTCACTCTGATACTCTGTTCATCCCGATACTGTGTTCACCCTGATACTCTGTTCACTCTGATACTCTGTTCACTCTGATACTCTGTTCACCCCGATACTCTGTTCACCCCGATACTCTGTTCACCCCGATACTCTGTTCACTCTAAACTCTGTTCACCCTGATACTCTGTTTACCCTGATACTCTGTTCATTCCAATACTCTGTTCACTCCGATACTCTGTTCACTCCGATACTCTGTTCACTCCAATACTCTGTTCAGTCCGATACTCTGTTCAGTCCGATACTCTGTTCACTCCAATACTCTGTTCACTCCGATACTCTGTTCACTCCAATATTCTGTTCAGTCCGATACTCTGTTCACTCCGATACTCTGTTCACTCCGACACTCTGTTCACCCCGATACTGTGTTCACTCTGATACTCTGTTCACCCCGATACTGTGTTCACTCTGATACTCTGTTCACCCCGATACTGTGTTCACTCCGATTCTCTGTTCACCCCGATACTCTGTTCAATCTAATGCTATGTTCACTCCAATACTCTGTTCACTCCGATACTCTGTTCACTCCGATACTCTGTTCACCCCGATACTTTGTTCACTCCAATACTCTGTTCATTCCGATACTCTTTTCAACAAGATACTCTCTTCACTCTGATACTCTATTCACCCCGATACTCTCTTCACCCCGATACTCTCTTCACTCTGATACTCTCTTCACCCCGATACTCTCTTCACTCTGATACTCTGTTCAGTCCGATACTCTGTTTATCCCGATACTCTGTTCCCTCCGATACTCTGTTCCCTCCGATACTCTGTTCACTCCAATACTCTGTTCACTCCGATACTCTGTTCACTCCGATACTCTGTTAACCTGGATACTCTGTTCACCCGGATACTCTGTTCACCCAGATACTCTGTTCACCCGGATACTCTGTTCACTCCAATACTCTGTTCACTCCGATACTCTGTTCACTCCAATACTCTGTTCACTCCGATACTCTGTTCACCCGGATACTCTGTTCACCCAGATACTCTGTTCACCCGGATACTCTGTTCACTCCAATACTCTGTTCACCCGGATACTCTGTTCAACCTCCTAAGAAATTGTAATTTATGATCCTATAAACGCAATCCTAATGATTACACCAGTTACATAACTTTTTTTTTCCTGCTTTATCAAAACTAGTTTTCTTTTATCAGCATATATATTTTTTGAAGGATTTATGTGAACTTGGATAACTTTGATTTTATTTCATGGCTTTTATCATCATTATTATCATCTTCATCATCATTATCATCACCAATTCTATAAGGCTATAAGGTCACTACTCTGACAAAATATCATAATTTGAAAATCTACCTACAGCAGAAAATAGTGAACCCGTTATTTAATGGGCCAAGACAGATATGACCTATCTGATAAATAATAATCCACTATATTAATAAATAACAATTGTTAAAAATTAAATGTTACCAAGTGTTTAAAGTTACACTGAGCACCATACACACAATACATTTCACTTATTTTTGCTTGTGATGTCAGTCTCAAACGATGATGTAGGCAGATTGTCTTAGTATAGAGGTTTCTGTCTTCTTTTTTTGTCAACTGTAACTGTATTTGTGACTAATTTACAATTCTCCAATCTAAGAACTGGGTTTTTGTATTTTAAACATTTGAAACAATAAAAATAATAACATAAAACAATACAGCCTCAGTGATGGTATTGCTACCACAACTAGCATCTACATTAGGAGGGAAGGAATATCTTGATTATTAAAAAAAGTTTTATCCTCATTTTTTTAATGCACCAGTTTTTTTTAAATAAATCTCGTTAATTTATTCTTCCATTGTTCCTGAAGTTTTCATGTGCCATGTTAAGCCTCTAACAACATAATATTATTGTTTATGTTACAAAATTACATAATGGATTTGATTTTATACATTGAGATTTCATAATGTTGATTGATATTATGCCCGGTGTGGTTGAATCAGTAGTCAGTATGTTTTACATCTGAAATGACACACTGTACACCCCTTCATCCACATTCTGCAGCAGAGTACTCAAGGACAGTATGCTACATTTATCTCATGGGTGTATGCTGCATTTATCTTATGGGTGTATGCTGCATTTATCTTATGGGTGTATGCTACATTTATCTCATGGGTGTATGCTACATTTATCTCATGGGTGTATGCTGCATTTATCTTATGGGTGTATGCTGCATTTATCTTATGGGTGTATGCTACATTTATCTCATGGGTGTATGATGCATTTATCTCATGGGTGTATGCTGCATTTATCTCATGGGTGTATGCTGCATTTATCTCATGGGTGTATGCTGTATTTATCTCATGGGTGTATGCTGCATTTATCTCATGGGTGTATGCTGCATTTATCTCATGGGTGTATGCTGCATTTATCTCATGGGTGTATGCTGCATTTATCTTATGGGTGTATGCTGCATTTATCTCATGGGTGTATGATGCATTTATCTTATGGGTGTATGCTGCATTTATCTTATGGGTGTATGCTGCATTTATCTTATGGGTGTATGCTGCATTTATCTTATGGGTGTATGCTGTATTTATCTTATGGGTGTATGCTGTATTTATCTTATGGGTGTATGCTGTATTTATCTTATGGGTGTATGCTGTATTTATCTTATGGGTGTATGCTGTATTTATCTCATGGGTGTATGATGCATTTATCTTATGGGTGTATGCTGCATTTATCTCATGGGTGTATGCTACATTTATCTTATGGGTGTATGCTGCATTTATCTTATGGGTGTATGCTGCATTTATCTCATGGGTGTATGCTGCATTTATCTCATGGGTGTATGCTACATTTATCTTATGGGTGTATGCTGTATTTATCTTATGGGTGTATGCTGTATTTATCTTATGGGTGTATGCTGCATTTATCTCATGGGTGTATGATGCATTTATCTTATGGGTGTATGCTGCATTTATCTCATGGGTGTATGCTGTATTTATCTTATGGGTGTATGCTGCATTTATCTCATGGGTGTATGCTACATTTATCTCATGGGTGTATGCTACATTTATCTTATGGGTGTATGCTGCATTTATCTCATGGGTGTATGCTGCATTTATCTCATGGGTGTATGCTACATTTATCTTATGGGTGTATGCTGCATTTATCTCATGGGTGTATGATGCATTTATCTCATGGGTGTATGCTGCATTTATCTCATGGGTGTATGCTGCATTTATCTCATGGGTGTATGCTGTATTTATCTCATGGGTGTATGCTACATTTATCTTATGGGTGTATGCTACATTTATCTTATGGGTGTATGCTGTATTTATCTCATGGGTGTATGCTGCATTTATCTTATGGGTGTATGCTGCATTTATCTTATGAGTGTATGCTGTATTTATCTTATGGGTGTATGCTGCATTTATCTTATGGATGTATGCTGCATTTATCTTATGGGTGTATGCTGCATTTATCTTATGGATGTATGCTGCATTTTTCTTATGGGTGTATGCTGCATTTATCTTATGGGTGTATGCTGCATTTATCTTATGGGTGTATGCTGTATTTATCTTATGGGTGTATGCTGCATTTATCTTATGGGTGTATGCTGCATTTATCTTATGGGTGTATGCTGCATTTATCTTATGGGTGTATGCTGCATTTATCTTATGGGTGTATGCTGCATTTATCTTATGGGTGTATGCTGTATTTATCTTATGGGTGTATGCTGCATTTATCTTATGGATGTATGCTGCATTTATCTTATGGGTGTATGCTGCATTTATCTTATGGATGTATGCTGCATTTATCTTATGGGTGTATGCTGCATTTATCTTATGGGTGTATGCTGCATTTATCTTATGGGTGTATGCTGTATTTATCTTATGGGTGTATGCTGCATTTATCTTATGGGTGTATGCTGCATTTATCTTATGGGTGTATGATGCATTTATCTCATGGGTGTATGCTGCATTTATCTCATGGGTGTATGCTGCATTTATCTTATGGGTGTATGCTGCATTTATCTTATGGGTGTATGCTGCATTTATCTCATGGGTGTATGCTGCTCTTCTTCTCATTGTTGTCGTTTATCTCATCACACATGAAGCAAAAGCAAAAGAAGATGAAGAAGTTTTAATTTGTGTGAAGTGACATTTGTAGTTTATTTACCTATATGCGATTGCACTCATATCTTTTTATTTCTTATAGTTCCTACCATGTAAGGTTCCTAGTGATGTCCATGCACAGCAAACTTACGTCTCATGTACTTTAGATCATTTCTGACCGTTGATTGTACAAACATGACTTTTATTTGCAAAGCACTTACGATAGGTTGCATAACATGTGACATCAACATACGCTTTCATTGTAAATAAACCATGTCATATTAAAAGTTATTTTTTGTAAAAGTGCGAGTTGCCAACATCCAGTTTTATCAAAGTGATGTAGCTAATTTATAATTCATTGACTGATAGCGCAACTAAAACATGTAACATTAGATACATTTCTTATATAGTTTGAACATATTAGATGTGGCACACTTGTTCTAATGCGTACAGAGTATCAGGTACAGTATTAAATAAAGGGCTTTATCTTTTCAAACACGCGATGAGGCGCACTGGCAACTTGGCGCTAGCTGTATGTGTATATATATATATATATATATATATATATATATATATATATATATATATATATATATCGAAAGAGAGAGAGAGAGAGAGAGAGAGAGAGATAGAGAGAGAGAGAGAGAGAGAGAGAGAGAGAGAGAGAGAGAGAGAGGATAATTCAAAGGGCGATGTGGTCAGGATCACACAGGTCCACTTTACTTCACAGGACATTTACTGGCACCTGTTTTAAAATGGGTCAACGTGGGACCTACAATTTTAAATCTACTGCAAGAGGGGAATTTTAAAAAAAAACATGACAAGCGTTAACCTGCAGGCAAGCGCGCTAACCATTGCTCACAGGCAATGCATAAATGAGTATACGTAGTTTCTTACAGTGGAGACATTTCAGATAGTAGAAAACGGGGTTCATCTCGGCAACAGTTCAACATCACAGCATTCAGGACAAGTCTGGTTCATACGGCGGTCTCCATACTGATGGTAGCTGTTGTTGTCTGGTTAGATACTCGTTTTGCTTTTCACCCGAGTCAAGAGAGGCGCCTACAGCCCACAGGCTCTTCCCTTGCAACATTCTCTGCCGGTCTTGGTTTTCAGTATCTTCTATTTTACTTGTTAGTTACTTCATCCCACAGGCAAACCCTCCTAAGCAGACTTTGCGAATCGGATACTGTGACAGTATGGGAAGCTGACATTTCTTCACCAATCGGAACTCTGCAGTTACCGCCTCAGCCTCCATTCTCATGCTCCATGTTTTAATGTTATATGCCAAGCTCGCCATATTCATCCTTCTCTCCCATGTTTCCCCCCCCCCCCCCCATTTCTGCCCACTGACCCATCAGTTATCTACGTCTGCACGTCCTGCCGCCCACCCCCGGCATTCTCCTCCCAATTAAATTATCAGCTTGTGCAACTCTTCTCAGCCTTCTGGCACCTTGACCCATTCTTCTCCTCAGCTAATCTCTGTAATGCCTGGGCCATCCAGGATCTGCCCTTGTCAAGTCTATCAATCTTCACGTGATCTAGTTCCCCATGTAGGAAATGTTTTGTATCACTTGCAACTCTAGTAGATAGCACTCAACTTGCAGTATATTATGTCTTGTTTAGAATGGTAACAGGCCGAAAATATTGTCGACGGAGGATCTTCTACTGATGACCGGTAGACTCCTGCTGTGTATGCTCTCTTGTGAAGTTTTTTTTAAAATTAATTATTATTGCCTATCAGCAATGGTCTGTGTAGCCGGGATATGTCTCATACACACGCTGGTGAGTTTGTGCATCCTAGAATGGTCTGTGTAGCCGAGATATGTCTCATACACACGCTGGTGAGTTTCTTGTGCATCCTAGAATGGTCTGTGTAGCCTCATTCTGAATGTGTTCCATTTTCTCCAACTAAACAGTCTACGGAAGTTAGTTTCAAATATTTATACACAAGCCTGATGTCTCTACATTAACAACAAATATCTAGTTTACAAAGTGCACAGACATAATCCTGGTCATGCATAAATAAAATGTAATAAATACTTCAGTAATACATTTTAAAGAAATACTCTCAAGTGGTGCAATTTTCATTTGAAATTAAGAGTAAATGTTAAAAGAAAAAAAAAGGTGGGGGGGGGGGGGGCGGTATCCGGTGTCCTGTTAATACGATAAGCCTGTTTACAAACCATTAATTACGCGGAGGTAATTAGCAGACTGCAACATGCAGTGTGCACCACGCGCTGCCCTGTTGAATATAGAAATACAGTATTTACTCCTGCCCACTTGATTAACCCTTCACTGCTGTGTGGATATAGACTCTATACTGCGGTAGAATCACACTTTATCTCTTTCTACGAAAAGTAACAGCTCTGCACCACACATTAATTTTATAAAGTCACCTTTATATTCAAATAATATTACAATCCTTCTGATAACAAACTGCAATATGCCTTCCTATACCTTGCGAAAACCATAAACTATGGCATATAATGAGAGGCATGGGATTTCCAAATCATCTGGTGCACTTAATGGAATCTCTTTACCACGGACGACAAGCAGCGGTCAGAGTAACTGGTGAAACATCAGAATGGTTAGAAATGCAGAAAGTAGTGAGACAGGGCTGCATTCTGTCACTCTCCCTCTTTAACATATATGCTGAAAATGTTATGTGAAACGCAATTAGCGATGAGACATGTGAGAACTTTGATCCACTAAAAATTGGAGGTAATCCTATTCCAGAACTCAGTTATACAGACGACACAGTTCTCCTTTCCAACAGTGTACAAGGTTTAGAAAAATTAATTCTGGCCGTCAAAAAACACAGCGAAGAAGTGAATCTGTTTCTGAATTTTAATAAAAAATTAATTATGTCCTCAGCAAATACAACAACATATCACAATAGAAAATGAAAAAATATATATATATATAAAATGTAACAGATTTCGAATACTTGGTCTCTTTAGTGAACAACAGTGGCTACTGCTCAAAAGAAGTCAGAAGAAGACTTGCATTAGCAATGCAGAGATCAAAGTAAACATCTTGAGATCCTGCATTTTTCCGGTGGCAACTTACGGTTGTGAGTCTTGGACTCTCACTCAGTCACTGAGGAAAAAGACTGGAGCTTTTGAATTGAAATGTTATAGAAAAATTCTTAGAATTCCATGGATACCAATAAAAGGGAAAACATCGACATTCTGAACGATTTAAACATCAAGGAAAAACTGGCTTATAAACAGCATCCTGTCCCGAAAGTTGAAGTATTTTGGCCACATCAAGCTTCAAGGTGGCTTGAAAAAAGACGGTGATGGAAGGTGCAGTTTGTGGAAGGCGAGGCAGGGGCCGACCACCGCGAAGATGGATACCAGACTTTGAAGATGCATTGGCTTTAAAAGCACATGGGTCTGGAGAGCTGGCTAGGGAAAGGGATACTTTCAGGCGTGCCGTGTAGAGAGCGACGGTCTGTAAAGGACTTGCTAATTGATGATACCTGGACAAATGCAGTTCCCGTCTACGTCTAAATGAAGAGTAGATACATAAAGTTACGTAGTGTCTGAACAATCTTGTGGCCAGTATGTCACCTGGCTGTGTAATCTATGTAGCCAGACAGACATAAAACTTCATGGATCGGTGATTCAGGGCAGTGTATAACGTTAGTGCCGCCTTCTGTGCATCTATGTGGTCACATCTACACAGTATTTCTGTCACGACTGTGGGAGCGTGAGCTCTGTTTAATTTGCCTCCTTGCCTTTCTCCTCCTCCTGCGCACCTGGAAGTAGAATATATTTAAGCATTTTGTAATATACCAGTTCTAACACAATCTCTCATTTATTGTCTATTTTAAATCATAGAACTTATAAATTTAGTTGATCTGGGCTGTCATATTTGCCCGATTTTCTATAATTATTTTCTCATGTAAATTGAGAGAGAGAGAGAGAGAAAGGGAGAGAGAGAGAGAGAGAGAGAGAGAGAGAGAGAGAGAGAGAAAGGGAGGGAGAGAGAGAAATTACTGAGAAATTTAAACTTTTAAAAAACATAAATATTCACATTCGTTCAAATGTTCCTAGACAAATAAAGCGTTGGTCGTCTCAGCAAAGATCTCTGACGTTCAAGTACCATGATATAATCACACAGTCAAGGCGAGCAAGTGACATATCCTGTTGTAAACTTTTGAAATCTACACTCCACCCCAGAACTATTAGGTGATGAACCAGTTCCCTTTCCTCCCGCCTTTACTTTCCAGGAAACACTTGTAACTCTCCTTATTGGGGTTTGCAACACAAAGCTTACATGGGGATTCAAACTCGTGACAACCGAGCTGGCAACAAGCATGAAAGCCGCGGCTCTGTCGAGCTCTCTCCCATGAAGTTTAGGCTTCCACATATTTCCGGCTGATGGCGTAATAAGGTGGACTGGTTAGTTCTGTAGACAAGTTCAATAAACTATCTAATTCCATAACATTTCTTTGTCCATTTGTCTTTCTGACCCACCATTCTTATACAAACACACACATACACTACACTATCAGGAGCCTGTATGTTTATAGAACGACAGAAAGTGAAAAGAGAGACTGGCGAACTAGCACTTAGATGGCCGCTTAGCTACAAGGCGTTCAACAGTCCACAGAAACTTGGACAAGGACTACGTGAAAGACGAATAAAGACTTCAGGATCCATGAGGGTTTCACTGACCTTGCGGTCAGTGGCGGACTGGACAAAACGGACACAGTGAACGGCTTCAGGGCAGTTGAGCAGAGACCCAGACTGAACCTGGACGTGTTGTGTTTTGACCACTAGGTTTTTTGCAACTGATTACTGACTGATTGATTTACAGCTGACTGATAACTACGCTATACTTAACCACTGCAATTTCCCTGACAGCTATTACCAATGATCTGCCTAATAAACACAGGGCACATGCATTAAATAGATGTGTCTGATATACTGGGTATTTGGATAGTCAAATAATGGAGTAAAAACTGACACTACTGTCTGTTTTACCACTTTTTTAGGCCGGTGTAGACTGGGAGCCATGAGCCTGAGGGTTTAA